TCAGAAAATACTTTTCACACATGATTTACCCATGATTAGACCTAGTCTAAATTCCTTATGTGACCTAAGATTACCATCCCAATGTATTTGTTATTTTCAACTTTTCAAAGTTCCCTTCTAGTCTCTATGAACACAGGTATATATTTAAAAAAAATTATTATAGTGGTAATCAGCATGAAATGTTCTACTCTGATTTTTCCATTTAAAATAATAGAAACAATATTTTATTACACTGCTATATTGTCTTTCTTTTAACAATTTATTTTATATCAAGTGAACATATAATGAATTTAACCATACTTCTTTTGTAATTTGAGGAATTTTAATCGATATGTTATGATTAATAATATTCTACACATTACAAAAAAGTTATATTGAAAACCTTTAGAAAAAGGAGTTATTTGGATAGTATAAACATGTAAAATAATAAATATTCTCCCAAAACACTGATACGAAGATGAATATTTTATTGGAGGATGGCTAATTAAGACCTGAATTTGTATCTGGGTATTTTTTGTCTAAAGATTGTATTTCCCCATTTGTGTTTACACTGTAATGAACTATTTTAGGATAAAAACTCCGGAAGTACATTCTACATAAAATAGGGCAATGGGATGCACCACAGAGAAGCACCAGGGTGTAGTGGAAAGCATGTGAGTTTTGGAGTCAAACGGACTTGGACTGCTGTGCTTTGAAATGCTATGTTCTGCAAAAAATTTGTGCAAGAATTACTCATAATAGCTTTATTTACAATAGCCAAAACAAAACAGCCCAAGCGCCCATCAGTAGGAAAATGGATAAATAAACTGTGATATATTTACCCATGGAATACTAGTCAGCAATAAACAGAATAAACTACTAATACACACAAACATAAGGATGAATGTCAAAATTATGCCCAGTGAAAGAAGCCTTACACAGGAGTACATACTCTAGGATTCCATTCTATGAGGAGTGAGAACAGGGAAAGATAACCCATGTGGAAAAAATCAGAGCATTGATTGCTTCTAAGGGTCAAGATGTAAATTTACTCAGAAAAGACATAAAGGAACTTTCTGGATGATGTTCACGTTCTGTACTTAGTAGAGGTTTGGAGTGTACATATGTATGTGATTTTCTGAATTTCTGTAATGGTACCCTTGTATGAACATCATTGTACGTAAAATGTCTCAAAGGGGAAAAAAAAAAGGAACCTAAACAAGTATTGGACTCTACTTCATGATACACATATCAAAGTATTCCAACTTACTTTGAAATGCATAAAAATTAAGATGGATCAATGGATGAGGGATTAAAATACAGATACATAGATGAAAGAGTGAGCATAGTAAAATGCTGAGTATAGAATCTAGGTTTTCCTGTATGATTGAAAATTTTCAGGATGAAACATTGGAAAGTGTTGGGTTTTTTTGTTTGTTTTGTTTTTGATCTGGACATGTTTCAAAAACCTCTGTTTCAATTTCTGCAAAATGAAAGTAATAGTGTTTACTTCACAAAGTTGTTGCGAGGTTTAAGAAAAATCGCCCTAAAAATAGCCCTGGTATATACATAGTAGAGGTCCACAGCCTTGTGATGCTGTTTGCTTTCTCTTTCCTCCCCTCTTATTTGTCTTGTCAGTTTATAAGCCATAATACATATTTTTGGATTTGGTAGCATTGCCTATGAACAGGTGGTCTGAAAAGGTATGCAGCAAAATTATTGGAATTATGGGAAATGAACTGTCCATCTGCTGATTACATATTCCTTAAGTGGAGGAATCACTTTTAACGATAGTAGTGGCTCAGACTCTATTAAGGAGGGACAGCCTGTGGTGATACTTGCTCTAAAGAGAGTACCAGAAAGGAGAGAGAAACGACGAAGTGTTAGAGACAATCGTCAAATGGATTTTTTAAAACTACATAGTTATCCAGCTCACTAAATGCTCCATTTGTGAGCACTCATTTATTTGTTTATTTATTTATTTGCTTGTAGAAATTTGAATGGAATGAAGTGAGGAAAAGGACTTTGTTCATACCCCTCAGCTCTGGCTGCCCATCTCTTTCTTCCCAAAGTAGTTTGCAGGGTAGGTTTTTCCATACACTGTAATCTTTTTATTTATTTATTTTTGGCTGCCTCGGGTCTTAGCTGTGGCACGTGGGATCTTTCGTTGCTGCGCGTGGGCTCTTTGATGTGGTGTGCAGGTTGCTCTCTAGTTGTGGCGCATGGGCTCTCTAGTTGCAGTGCATGGGCTTAGTTGCCCCGTGGCATGTAGGATCTTAGTTCCCCGACCGGGGATCGAACCCGTGTCCCCCGCATTAGAAGGCAGATTCTGGACCACCAGGGAAGTCCCTGCACTCATTTATTTAACACATATTTATTGAGGGTGTGCTGTATGCCTGACACTGTGCTAAGAGCTGGAGACACAGAGATGGATGAGTGCCTGGGACAGACATAGGTGCCTGCCCTCATGGAACTTACATTCTAGTCATGCTAAAGTTAGTTGGATTTATAGGGATCAGTCTGTCAGCCAGCAAATATTTACTGAGTATTCATTCTGGCCAGGCACTTGGAATATCCATAGCAAACCAAACAGAAATGGTCCACTCTGTCATGGGGCCTGCTATCTAGCAGAAAAAGGCAGATTTAGTCAAATCACTGCATGTAACTATAATAAAACTGTAATGTGATAAGTGTGCAAAATACTGTGAAGGAAAAGTACAGGGTTCTTCGGGAAATTTCGGCAGGAGAATATGCCCCATTAGCCTAGGTGAAAAGAATTTTTCTCCTAAATTTTCTCTGAGTTTAAGAGAGTAAATTGAGCACAGAACAGAGCTTGGAAGAGCCAGTGGCCCACATCAGGTCAACAGTGGAATGAAGAACAGAATTAGGGGCACCAGGAGCCATGTGTTCAGTCACATAATGTGCTTATCCCTTTGGATTTCACCTTGGTTTATGCCTTAGGAGCTCCTGTGTGGTTCGGCTACAGAAAGCAAAGTGAGAATTGTTGAATTGCTCTTCACCGCAGTAAGGGATTCTGGAATTAGGTTTATCTTCTACTTGGTCAAAGACTATAACAAACACCCTAACACGTCCATGGTGCCAGGAAGCTGCTGGAGACACGGGGCCTGAGATCATTAAACAAAGCAATTATACAACTGACCCACTGCAAAAACATGTCTACCAACTGAGTTCGTTGATTCCCAGCAGAGAGTAGATAGAAGCCAAGCGAATACAGAGAGCTGATGAGAAATACATGTGTCTCACAGACAAAAACTGTTGCTCCTACAATGATAGCACATAAACACATAACAAATAAAAACCAAAGCATCATTGTACCACACATTCTTTAGTGGGGACAAGCTGATCTGTTGGAGTCTGAACTACTCACTTCTGAATCAAAAGGGGGCTGGGCTGGGCTTCCCTGGTGGCGCAGTGGTTGGGAGTCCGCCTGCCGATGCAGGGGACATGGGTTCGTGCCCCGGTCCGGGAAGACCCCACATGCCGCGGAGCGGCTGGGCCCGTGAGCCATGGCCGCCGAGCCTGCGCGTCCAGAGCCTGTGCTCCGCAGCGGGAGAGGCGACAGCAGTGAGAGGCCTGCGTACCTCAAAAAAAAAAAAAGGGGGGGGGGCGGCTGGGCCATGCTTAAAGAGCTGCCATTTTCCAGCGCTAGCAGCAGACATAAACAGGTGCATAATCAATACTAGTTGAATCATCACAGGTTTGTTTCCATTTGTTGCCTGATTCCCCAAAGGATAAAAAAGATACAGAAATATCTAGTGATGAGCAAAAGTAATGTACAAATGATAAGTTAATTTAGAGCTGTGTTAGGATCCAGCCAAAATGCCAAAAGTGAGTTCTGTGTAGTTCAGCTTCTGCCTATACAAGCAAGAACTCGTTTCTCTGTCCAGAGAAACGACTAGGACCAAAGCTGTATTTCATGTCATCTTGTCATCAGGTCAAGAAGGGCTGAAAGTGATGGAAACCAAGAAAATCAGAGAAGGACAAGGCTGGGAGGTTGGGATATAGGCAAGTTATGGCATTAGACCACCTGGCTTCCTGGTCTCAGCTCTGCCACTGACTAGCTGTGATGTTTGAGGCAAGTCACTTTGCCTCCATTTTCTGCTCTGTAATATGGGTACATGCCTCACAAGTTTTTTTTTCTTTCCCCCCAAAATGAATCATTTGGTAAGACCTTTATAGAAATATACTCACAAATCAGGAAAAAAAAAAATCTTCCTTCTCAGGCCCTGCTTTTGTTTCCGATTGGATGACACCATAGCCACACCATGGTCCATTCACTCTGGACGCTCAGAACTGGAAATGCCCCTCCTCCTACAATCAGGCTATCAGGCATTGATCTCGACAGAAGATTCAGGGTTGGTTCCTTCCTTAAAGACAGCTATGCATAAACTGCGACATTTTTCTGTAACCCCAGGGTATAAAAAGTCCAAAGAACCTGGGCATTCTGAGCTTGTGTACACTTGGTCTCAGGCCTTGATTTGTCTGACAGGCCTTGGAGAGGGAGAGTATATACCGCACTCACCTAGGGCAAAATCAGGTTGAAACAATGAAGATGTTTCATGCTTCGTTGAATATGCTAAGTGTCACTGCTCTTGGAATAACCGTCTTGCTGAAAAATTGACACACTTTTCCTTCTGGTATGTCTTTGCCTAAATTGTTCCTCCCTGTGCAAGATTAACTAATACCATCTGTGAATAGTCTTGGCCCTCACTCTCAGCCTGGGCTTGAATCTGCCTGATTCTTTTCTGTGCCTCTTTTCAAAGGTGCAGGAATACAAGAGCTGCCCCCCCCCCCCGCCCCCGCCCGCAACGCCCCCAGCTAAGCGCCAAACACTGTCAGAGCTCCGGTTCCCAAGCCTGGAAATCCTTTGCTTCCAGCTCTGCATCTGAAGGCAAAAAAACAATCCTCCGGAGATTCGGCCCTCCCACTGCCTGTGATAGGCTGCTTGGAATAGCAAGAGCCTGTGTCACCGAAAAGGGCAAAGCTTTCGGAAATAGAAACAAAGTTGGTCACAAATCACATTGGCTTTCCCCGAAGTTTTTTTTTTCACCTTTCTTTAGCATGCGACCATGGGGAAAGTGACCGCTCGTGTCAGTGGGGGAAGTCAGGGTGGTTTAGTGCCCAGGGAACGGCTGTAACTTCTACGTGACCATGGTACCTGTTGAAAACTCAGAGGGCCCCAGTCTGCTGAAACCGAAGGGGCCAGCAGCCGAGACTGATGGCAGCGACAGAGACAGCGGCGGCCGGCATCCTCCCTGGGCGAGAGGTAAAGCGAGGCTGCAGGGCTCGGGGACCGCGAGAGGAACGAGCTGGGCGCGTGTCTCACTCTGTGTGTATGTGTGTGTGTGTGTGTGTGTGCGCACGTGAGCGTGCTAGGTGCCTGGAGACGAGGGGACAGGATCTACTGGGAGGAGTGACAAGGAGCTCTGATGTGAAGGTTGAAGTCCCACTACTCATAAGCAGGGTGCCCTCCGCCGCGTTGACGGTGTGATGTATAAATCTTTTTCATTTGGAGAAATTGACTGGCAAGATAATCACACGTGTAAACACACCCACACACCCCCCCGCATACACACACTTTTTCATTTATTGTCACAAATGGATAATCTGTAACAATTGGACATTATAACCACCATTTCAAAAATCAGCATTTTAAGGAAGCTTCATAAAATTATTAGTTATATAATGAATAAATACAACTTTCTTTTTAAGTTCCCAGCATCTGTTTGTAATGAATTTGAGCATTATTTACAGCCTAAAACCTCTGCTTCGTTGCTCCTGCTTTCTTTAAAACTGGCCTTTCAGGCTGAGGTTTGTTTAATACTTTTCCTTCCGGAGGTGAAATTTGGAAAAGTTTTAATTCATTTCAGTTATCTTTGCTAAATCAAATGCCTTTCTTCACTCCCACATTTACAATTTTCACAAGCACATTGCACACTTTTAGTTGCCTTTTCCTATTCAGTTAGTTTGTTCTCAAAGGAATAGGAACTAATCGTAATATGAAATGAAATCAAACACAAATAATGCCCTTCTTCCCACCGCTTCCCTCAGCTCTGCTCCCTCTAATCATATAATACACTCCCACGCCATATACTGGAATTTCATGCATAACCAAAAACACTAAATGATATGAAAGGCATTTTACCTTTCACCTTGGGATGGATCTGTGTACTTATGTTTGCACGGCGGGTTTGATGTTCCTGGAATTGAATCCACAACCCCTCTCAAGGAGGAACTGAGCGGCCCCTCCTTGGGAACTGAGACCCTTTCCTTATCCCCTGCCCTCTCCCTGCTCAGCCTTCCCTTGCTTCCATCCTTCTAGTCAAGAATGAATATCTGGGGTCACCTTACACTATGCCTCAGCCCTCTCTTCAGCAGAGCTGTCCCTTTGTCTAAGTGTGATCTTTGGGTCCTAAGTCTAAGAGGAGACAAAAGAAACTTGTATTCAGGGGTAAAGAGAAAGAGTGGCAAAGTTCTTCTCTCTGAATTTCGGCAAGATTGAGCTCTAGGGTGAGCTGAGGTGGTGATATTGACAAAAGGGTTAACTAGATGGAGTCACTGATAAATGTCACAAAGAAGATGAAAAGGAATTTGTCCTGGAGGGGCCTCCATAGTAACAATAAAAAATGGACTATTTAGTTTTGATATGCCTTTGAAAGCACAGCGTACTACTCTTAATAGGTTAAATTGCCCAAGTTCACAGTGATCCCAAAGGAAGGTAACATGTATGTGTGCTTGTAAAGGTTGAATACACACACAAAATTCAATTTATAGTGCAACTGTTTATGCCATTGAAAAGAAATGATAAATGAACAAATACCATAAATTATCGTTTACATTTAATTTTAAACGAACCTTTATCGTGTAGAAGAGGAAACCTAAATGTTTTTCTTAAATCCTTAATTAATACAGCTTTGATGGGTGCTGTATGTCATTTATATTTAGACAAATACAAACCTTTTATTATTACTTTTGTAAGTTTTCATAAATTGTCTTAAACTTTCTTGGTACCCAAAGGCAATTATACAGATCTATGTGTATAATGAATCCATAGTACGGACTTGCTCTATGGTTTTGACAAGTTACTTCACCTCTCCAACTGGGATTGTATTTTTGTATGATTTACGAAGATGTTGAGGTTTAATGAAATATTTGACAAATACTCCTTTCAACTTCTTTATATTTTAAACTTCCATAGTTTCATCCAGGAAATTCTGAGTATTTAAAACATGCTTAAATCATCCTACTTCTCCTGCATTTGAAGGTAGCAAGTTGTTCTATATTCCTAGATGAAAAAATTAACGTGCAAAGAGGAATGAGTTATACAACCCAGGACAAGGTCATTAAAACATTTGAGATATTGAAAAATGAAACAAAACAAAAACCTTAATCTCTTTGATTGTACCCCCTTAATGCTATTGTGGGTAATGAAAAGTGTTGGCAGGTTGGCAGGTTTTAGAGGCTAACCCCTCTAAACTGGAAAGAATGCTCTGTTTCAATGGCTAGAAGCTAATGAATTTAAATTCATTTTCAAAAAGCTATGGCTCAAAGTGGGTATATTTTTAGTAAACCTTTCAGTGTTCATTGACACGTTATAATTGACCTTGTAGGGCAGGTTGAGCTCAATTTTAAATCTCGCTACCTCGAGCCAACAACAGATATAGGTGAGGTGAGGAACATGGACTGCTGGGGCATCTTACACAAGGAGAGCATGAGTCCAGAAGATGTGTGGTTGGCCCACGTTCACGCGGTGGCTGATCAAAGCTGACCCTGGTGACCTGTGGCCCAGGGGGCCTGCTCCTTCATCTCAGGAGCTGGGTCTCCCAGGCTCTTCTAATTCATGATTCAAACAACTGGCTAGGAGGAGGGTTTCTTTAAGTCCCCCATTACCCCACCAGCGCTGCATTTTCCTCTCAGATCTGCCCAAAAGGTCAGAAACCAAGAACAATATTCACCGTATGAGTGTCGATTCTCCGCGCTGCAGATCCAGCTGCCGAAAGCAGTGGAACCCAGATCGCTAGAACTAGACTCCGAACCAGCTGAAAGGGCTGCACTTCATCCCCTCCAAGACCCTTCTAAACCTGAGATGCCACACTCTGAGATTTAAGAAATGCACACTTCTGCTAATGAGGTGAATACCCTATGGCAGTTGTTCTCAAACTTGTTTAAAGCTGTGAACTCCTTTTTGCAAATGGAAGCTGAGTAGGTGGTCAGTATGTTAAGACAAGTAAACATGGCGCCTCTTTAGTGGAAAGGGGAGAGGTGGAGAAAGAAGGACCTGCAGCCTGACTGCTTCCCTGCTCCTCTCTCATCCCTTGTGGCCCTGAGCCGGCTCCTGGGTCAGCATCACATTAGCAAACCTCAGGTCCATCACCACTCCGGTTATGCAGGCCATGTTTTTGAGGTTGGGGCATATTTACTGTGCTCCTGCTGTGAGCCTTGGGCTCTCAGGATTAGCCTAAAACAGACCCTCTTGAATTGAGTCAGGTCTGGCTTTCTCAGGCTTCCTCAGGCAGCCCAAGGGGAAGTCTACTTGTAAGACAGACTGAGGAGACTTTGGGGAACAAACATCACAGGGGAAGAGAAGGTCAGACTGACCAGCTTGACCTGTTAACAGAGCTTTGGCTGTGAGACCAACAGACTGGTCACATTGGGAAGACCCAGGCCTTGGCCATTCTCATTTTTCCAGGCTTTCCATATATTAAAAAGTGACATCTGAAACTAATATAATATTGTAAATCAGCTATACCTTAAAAAAAAAAGCAGAGATAAAATTTTTAATAAAATCTATACAGTATTAAGTATCAAAAGAAAAAGTGACAAAACGCTTGACAAAAATTGTGTCCTTAAAAACATGTGTATTTAACAAATTGATGGCAATTACAGCAGCAAAAAAAAATGTTGTGTAGCTTGATATTCCCAAGGAAATGACAGAATTTATAGACACTTGAATTTATGAGGGACAATAGATTTTTTTTGACTGGAAATAAGACCAGATTTAAAGATAACCATCTCCCCTTTCTCGTCAGTCAGCTTATCTCTGGGGCTGTACATTTAACCTCACTTGGAAATCATACCAAAAGTCTAAATTTGAGGCTTTTTGTGACAGTGAGGCATGGGCAAATGGCTTCTCTGGGATCTCAGAAGGGAGAGGCTCTAAATAAACATGGCGGGAGCTGTTTCACCGCCAACTCTGGGTGGTGTTTGGCTCGCGCAGCAGGTCTCTTTTCCCCTCTAATATCACATCACAGAGAGAGCAGAGAGATTGCCGCTTGCCACAAACCACCTCTAGGCTGCTGCAGCAAAAGGCATGTATTGTGAGTGCCTGTGTTGGCAGGGCCTGGCAGACAAGGCCAGGCCAAGGAGCCACCAACAGTGCCATTGACCCAGAGGGCCTGAAATTACCCAGCAAACACCAGCATGCCTGAACAGGTTTTATAGCCAATGACTCTTCCGATAGGTCAGTGCCTCTGTCCAGTTGTTAAATATTTTAAACATTACCCTTCTGTCCGGTAACATTGCCAGCAGGACCTGAGTGGCTGCGTTCTTAGGAAAGAGACTGGTGGTAGCTGGTAGGACCCTCCTGTGATCCCTCAGGTACGTTTTTTGTGAATTCTCAAGGAGGTACTTTTCAGTGGTCTAGACCTTGTAGAAGCTGATAAAAACAGAACTCAAAATACAATGAGTCCACCCTGGAACTGCCTGCGGAAACTCCAGTGTACGCGTATGTATCTGAGGTGAACCTTAAGATGCAGGTTTTCATTGCTGTCGATGTGTGGTATGGTATTTTTCATTCAAGAATACTTAGTTCTTGAACCTGGCTTCATCGCCTCATCTCACTAGGAGGAACTGAAGTATAATACTGTTTAGCCTCAGGGTTCAAAAAGTTCTAAAAGCTCCAAACAGGCCTGCATGGGTGTAGAATTAGCTTTGGGCTTTTAAAGGTTTGAAGCAGCTTTTTATTCAGGTTGTATGAGCAAGAACTGGCTTTATAAGATTCTTAAATTGAACGGAGTCGGGACTCCCAAGTTCAACTTTTTTCTCATGAAGTCTTCCCCAAGAGGATGAGTTAGCGAATAAAATAAGGCAATGAGGGCTTCCCTGGTGGTGCAGTGGTTGAGAGTCCGCCTGCCGACGCAGGGGACACGATTTCGTGCCCCGGTCCGGGAGGATCCCACATGCCGCGGAGCGGCTGCGCCCGTGAGCCATGGCCACTGAGCCTGTGCGTCCGGAGCCTGTGCTCTGCAAGGGGAGAGGCCACAGCAG